CTATCGTTTATCGTACCCATCATTTCTTCAATTAAAAATATTGACGAATATTGGGTTGCTAATTCTTCTTTTATATCTTCATTTGTGATTGAATGCTTAACCCATTTCACGATGATAGTGTGTTGCGTAGGTAAATGTTTCGGTGGGTGTGGGGTAATCTTAATATTGTTCAATTCTGTTGGATAGTGTTCTCTTTTACACAAAAACACAAACAGATCAGTTGATTTTACCATAGCTTGGAGATCGCCGACTGAGTCAATCCACCATAGATCGAACTGAAGAGGTTTATAGCATGGATAGTTTCGCAGAAAATCGGTTTTAATAAATTTCATTAATTCCACGACTACGTTTAATCCTTGTTTTTGGTCACGTAGTGGATTACATTCCATTTTTAATGGAGGAAGATGATGTTCCGCCGCATAGTTTAGAGAGTGATTGGAGATTTGAATTGAGTTTTGATCTGTCGATATCGAGCTCTGCTGTTTATTGTTACTGTTGTTAACATTTAAATCATTTCGTTGCTGTTGTTGATGTCTGATTCTGTTTTCATTAATATTTGAATTTGTGTACATTTTATTTACGAGAAATCGATAGTCTGTATCGTTGTTGTTTCTGTTCGTCGATTGTTTCACTTCCACTTGTTAGATGACGTTTTAGTGATACTGCACGATCTTGCTTTTCTTTTTCTTTTGTTTCTGTTTGATTGACCATATTCTGGAGATTTTCCCCGTTACATATTCGATCTTTTTCCTGTTGACTCATATTGTTGTGATTGTCATAAATCATTTGATTTTGCATTTGAATTTCGATAATTTTAGGAGATTTTATTAAATTTTAAGTATAAAATGTTTGCAAGAGGTTAAGCACGCGTACGTACACGTGCGTGTACGTATATACGTACAAGTATATTTAATATTAAGAAGAGGACACAACCAAAAGAGATGTGTACAGTACTGTGACAAAAAAGAGAATGGTTCGAGTTGCAGGTCTCTGTTCCACATCTACATACATCATCACACGTATACAGAAAAAAGCAGTTCTGTTGTAACTGCTGTGTGTATTGTCCAAATTCCGATGGAAATTAGATAATGAAATACCGAGCAATGGAAGTCATCAGCTAATAGAGTAATAATCATTACTGTCAAATTTCCCCTAGAATTTCGACAATTGCCGAAATTCTAGGGGAAATTTGACAATATTGCCGAAATTCCGATTCACCAAATAATGAATATTTTTATCATTTATGTATAGAGGGTATGAAACACTAAACGACTCGAATCTTCTATTCTGTCTTTAAGAACAAAGATGTTAGAAAAACTTCTGTGTTTCTTTGAAAAAAATGGTTGTTTTTCGAATCATTCTGTTTCATGTATTTCTACAGTAGTCACTTGTGTTGCGTTGTGTTGATGAGAAAGAAGAAAAGACACATTTTGTTATATCATCACACATGTAGCGTAGCTCTTTCTTTAGTCTGTCAGACCCTATTATACTAAATTTAATAACTTGACAGATTTCTGTAAAACATACGCTGAATGACGTCCTATTTTGATCCTTTAGTGACAAATTGGTTCTAAATGTTTATATTATGTCTTTCTCTCATAGCAGTAATGTTAATTATTATTGGTAGTAATGTGACAATGTCGTTGAAGGTCGTTGTTTCGCTCTAGTTCGCATTCAGCAGCAATTACCATTGCACTGACCAGTGGAAAGATGATCATTCAAATACGTTATTAATGGTTGTATATTGTTATATGAATGATGAACTATCGTATCGTCAGCAAAACCCAGGTCAAAAGAAACCACCAGGATCCTACAAAGTCGTATGCAATCGTATAGGATTTCTTAATGCCAGTGTTTCCCACAAAACACTCTAGTAGCATCCTGCAAAGTCTTCATTTCTATGGTAGGATGCTGTAATAAACATTGACATAAGAAATCTTGTAGGATCCTATACGAATCTGGCAAAAATCCTACAAGATCCTATAGCATCCTCTGATAGGGTTCTTTAATCTGGGAAGTCGTGTGTTGGACAAGAGTGGACTTCTAATGTCATCTAACTTACATCATTGCTACGATTTTTAGCTTCAGTTTAAGTTTTTACGGGTTTTAGATACTGATGGATCCTAATACCTTTCAAAACAAGTATTCCATTACTCTACATCAAACATCATTGATAACATAACTTTGTGATCTTTCTCAAAAGAAAAGTCGTATGTGTAACAAAAAATAAAATAAAAATATAGAAAAACAAGAAAAAAACGAATAATCAAACAAAAAGAAGTCAATATACATAATGAATCACATATACTGAGCTAAATATGAGAGAATATAAAACTGACTATCTGTGTTTTACTATTCATATCCCTAAAGACAAAATTAGTCATTGTTACAATAAACTGGTTGTGAAAAACATGTTCATTGGTACTTACCGATCCTGCTTGCTGAATTCGATTTTTAAGTTCTTCTAATCTGAAAAAGAAATTTATAAATCAGTACTGCCAATGTACAAGTAATAAATATGTATATACACTTACTTTTGTTCTAAATTTTCTAATGCTATTTCTGTTTGATTTTTCGTCTCATGTCGCAACGTATAACGCCAGTAATCTTCAGCTATGGCACTTTCACGTTGCATGGAATCAGTTACTAAACATAAACAATCACTCAAAATGGTAGATGTTAATGGAGAAAACTCTATTCTATTTCTAACTTTTTGGTTGAATATTTACTGATTGACATTCTACACCTTCCAAATCTGATTTATCACTAACTGACGGACCTAAATATATGGAAAAATATGATATTTTCATTATTAGTATTCGAAAAAAGATATATCGAATAAATTTTACCACGTCGACACGCAATAATTCGTCTAATCACATATCGAATCATTGAAAAAGTATAGTAAAGGGTATTGAAGGGCGGAGGTAAAGGTGTTTTTCTTGAATATTCGTTTACAATTAAAAATCGTTGATATCGCCAAAGATTATGTGATTCACCTTGAACTTGTTGAATTGTTACACTAGAGAAAAACGGGAAAATAAATAGCATAAAAATAATGATGAAAAAATAAGAAGAAAAATGTATTTATCTTCGTACTTGAACAATGCAACTAAAACATTTAACAATAGAACATTTGATACAGCAACAAAAATAATTGCCAATACCCATGCAACATCACTGTAAGAATTATTATCCACTAAAATTAATACATATTATAACTTTTATTCTGTCGTATTATTCATTCAATATGTCTGTCTATACCGATGGGATCAATTTGACCAAATACTTTCCATATGCCATAATTTGTTACATCACGTAAATATTGCCATGTCCATAATCCACTACCACTATTGAGAACGGTAACATTATATAAGTTTCCATCATCCGTATACGTCCAATTAACTTGAGATGTTGTTGTTATGAGTGACCATGATGTAATAGAAAATCCAAATAGAAATATTAGAATAAAACAAACGAAAAATAACAAATCTTTCATCTAAAAAATATTATAAAATTTTGTTATTCTATATGGTCAAAAATGAGAAAGGATCACGGAAATAACATTCTTTCGATCCTGACTGATAAATTTTAAAGCTTAAAATCAGATAAAAAATCTTGATCACGAAAATTAAATGTTTTTATGCCAAAAGCATAGAGAAAATCATGGAAAAAAGCATGTAATATGTCTTGTTTCATCAATATGATCAGGAAAACATGATTCAGATCTCGGAAATTATACATATCGCACAATGAAGAAATGATCTTTGTACAGAAGTTTGAAAAGAATATTAACGTATTTACTAACTAAACATGTGCATGTTACATAACACATTACGTACGTAGTAAGATCTATCAGAAAAACTAAGTTGGAAGATTCCATCTCGTAACATATTTAAAAAAAGAGGAATCTAAGAAAAGTTGCCAAATTGGCTATTTTCGACACCTTCCGAGTTTTTTCAAATTTTCAACCGGAAAAAAGGGTTGAGAAAACTGAAGGCACACATATTCTTGACCGCCTTGAAATTCTCCATCGAATGATGTATGATAAGCAAAAAAACAAAATTTCACTGCAACTTTGATTTCTGTGCATCTTCCATTCAAAAATTATTTATTTAAAGAAAGTTTCTTTTTTTTCGAAAATTTGTCTAGTTTTATACCGTCACTAACATGTACGTGCCGATATGATCTGACGGAATACGCTTATACTCATACTGCTAAACTCATGACAATATGGGGAACCCGAGAAGAAAAATCTTGAATGTAAATCTAAATAAAGCTTTAAAGATTTCTCAAGTTTCTTTCCAGATCTCTCAAGAACTTGAGAAGATTTATCGAAACCGTTCAAGATTCTGAACAGAAATCGATGCTGCAAATTTTCCACAAGTTCTGTATCAGAATCTATCTTGATAAATCTTGAACAGATCTTGATCAAGATTTTTGAGAAATCTCCCTACACAAATCTTGATCAAGATCTTGACAAGAATTGTTGAACATTCTTTGAGATCAAGAAACTTAACAGATCTTGTATAGCTATAAGTTTTCTGCAAAACATGAGAGTTCGCTGTATTCCACAAATGATCAGAAAACGTCGTACAAAAGGGCGTTCAAAAAAAACCAAAGTAAGCTTTATCAAAAGATTAATAATCCAAGTTTCAGTATTTCTATGTCTATTTCCATTTTCTTTGTTAAATATTGACTCTAAGAGATTAAGGGATCTAAAGTATGTTTATTTTAGCATAAGCTTAATCAGATATTTTGTCGTGATATATTCAATAATTTCGGCAGAAAAAAATTTAGTTTTCGTAATCGCGATCTTTTATCTGATTTTCCTTAAAATTTGTTAACAAGAATCAAAAGAATGTTATTTCCATGATCTTTTAAGTCACTCCAAATTCAAAGTTTAAGCACCATTTTACTTTTGACTTAATCATACATCATTCGATAGTGTTGAATGATGTGTGTATCTCTATCATATTCGACTACCCTAGTTTTTGTCAAATTTTCACATCGAAAAATTCTTGTAATTATTACCAAAAAATGAAAATCAACTGAAAATTTCGAATATGATATTTCTATTGCATTAAAGTTGATTTCTGATGGAGAAAATTGAGAATTACGAGCAGTATTCTGACTTTTTCGCTTGTGATTGAGAAAAAATGACTTTTTTCAACAACGGAATTTCCTAAGAAGCGATTTATACTTTTTTTCTACGTTTCAAGTCGAATCATATGGCGTATGAAACTTAGTTTCATGTGCTAACCAAAGAGCTGCCATAGGTTTAGAAGAAGAGGGTATAGATATTGGTCCCGTTTCGCGTCCAGAAAATATTTTTTGGTATAAAATTTTGAAATACCGTTTTCTAGGTGCAGTTTTCAACGCTGAAGAAGAAAAACATAGATTCGAAGCTTCGAAATGAGGTAGAAGCGAGTTATTCAGTTTTTTTAAAAAAATTAGTGGTTTTCCGAAAAAAACAGGTCCTTGAAGTTTTCCACTAAAAAGTTGCACTGAGAAGGCTTAAAGTGAGATATTCTTGATCAGCGTGCAATTCTCTATCGAATGATGTATGATTAAGCGAAAAACAAAAAGGATACTTAAACGTATTTGGAGCGCCTTAAATTAACGTCCATTCTATATAGTATTTATTATCGTCTAATACTAACCGTATTAAATATCATGACCAATTTTGGACCTAATTTTTCGTAGGCAGCGAATACATGCAATGTACGTACAAACCATATAATTAAATCCAAACATAAAAATATTCTAAACAAAAAAAAAGATGATAATTTGTTAAATGTGATTATATTTTCATTGAGTCATACTTTGAAATTGTAAATAGAGATTCAGTAACAAAGAAACGTGTAATGAAACCCACAAGATAAAGTACATATGCAACTAAATCCATAATATTCCATATTTCTTCAAAATAGTCTGAATATTTGTCCATAAGTACAAACTAGAAATTAGACATACATTGATTATCTTCTATTTTTCAATAGCAAAATAAATTAGTTACTTGTCGTATTTCTTCTAATATTAGACTCCATATACAAATATGTAAAAATATTTCTGTTACTGGTATCTGTAAATCTTTTATTCCTGAACGTTTTTCATGATAAATATTCAATGGAAAATAATCAACTAATAATACATAACTGAATAAAATCAAAAATACAACGAAAAATATCTAAATAATAATAATATGAAATATAATTATTTCATGAAAGTAGTATTTTTTGCATAAACATACGTACCAAATAATATTGAAAACGAACAACAGGTGCTTGATAAAAATATATAATTTTGTCTAACAATCGTGTATCATATTGAGATTGACGATCTGATCTAAAAATGCTTTACGATATACTGTCTGTATCATAGAATAATGATTACAATTACATTTTAAATTACTTTTGATTAACAGAAATAGTTAAAACATTCGTGTCTTGATATTCGAAAAACAAGACTTGACTTGATAGATTTTTCAAAAAAAAAAAATGATTTAAAATTCGCTTCAAACATGGAGTTTTCAAAAAAGTCACTGGAAAAACTATTTTTTTACTCTGTTAGAACATATTCACTTTTTTCTTAAACAACTCTTCATTCTTTAACGTTCAGATGTAGCATTAGACTTTCTAGATGGTCCAATAAAATACTTGATGGATAAATATTAACAAAGATAAATGAAAATACAACCTAAGTAACTGCTGTGAATATCGTTTTTAAATTATTTAGTTTAATTTTGGATTGCAAGCGTTTTTGGCGTTTTTGTTGACCGCGGTTTCTAACGATGTTAAAATGATCGGTGAAACGCGTTTATTTTATATAAAAACGCGTTAACGGTTTCGAAATCACCGTGTTCTTTTGGTCGTTTTAACGCGTTTTCTTCAAAAAAAGCTTAGTTAAAAAATGAGTTACAACGTGTTTTATGATCGTTAGTCACGGCTAAAAAAACGCGTTTTTATTAGCGTTAGTTTGAAACCTTTAACCCGTTTTATGATCGTTTAAAACAAAAAACAAAAACGTGTTTCTTTGTCAATGCATTTACGTCAGGGCATTCACCGTCTTGTTTTGCGGTCAGCCGAGTATATAAGCAAAGAAATATCATCTTTCTTTCGTTCGTTTTCAGTTTTAGATCATCAGTTTTGTGCTTCCTTTATTATAGACTTTCAACTATTTTTAGATGAAGTCCCACTGAGTAGCCCAACCCCATCTTTGGCTTGATCAAAATGTTCTATTCTCACGTGTTTTTATTCCGCTTTTAACGATCTAAAAATGCGTTCTAGAACGTTTCAAAATGCATTTTTGGCATGTTTTTAACGTAAAAGTAACGCGTTGCGAAATTCCGAAAAACGCCTTTTCGAACGAATAGATGAAAGAAAAACGCGTTTAAGCGACAAAAAAGGTGTGTTACTTTTGAAACCATTAACGCATTTTTTAGTCGTTAAAAACGAAACCGGATCCTAAGGAACAGACTACCCTACTCTCCAAAAGAAAAGGTTTATTACGAAACTTAAAAGAGTATAGAGAAGTGCAACCACCCCTTTTAGGTTTCATAGAAGACAAGGTGCAGTGCGAAACCGTTTTAAGTGCATTGAAACGATTGATCAGTGCATTTGCTTATCATTATGTTTTTTCCTCATGATTTTTTCTCGAAAAATCAAAAATTACAGAAGTTTCCGGTATTTTTTTGGCTCAATTTTCACCGCCCTATACAATGAAAACACGCCTAATTTGCGGAAATGGTCTACTTGCTCAGAAAAAAAAATTTTTAGAAAAAAACTGCTAGAATTTATGCACCTAGACGGTTTTGTACTGCACCATGTCTTGCACAAAACCTAAAAGAGTTTAGAAACGGTTGCACCTCTCTCTATACTCTTTAAAGTTTCGTAATAAACATTTTGTTTTTTAGAGAGTAGACAAAAACTTTTCTGCAATTCGAATAAGAATCTTACTAGATCCTTATCAAACTCTTATGCACTTCTTATTTGTTTCTTACAGGAGTTCCACAAATTGCTTATTGGATTCTTAACGGATTCTAATAAGAAGTTTCTGACATATTTCATTTGACCAGAATGACCTCGTGAGAAGGGCAGAATTAAAGCCTCAAAGTATAGAAATTGGATCGCCCATATTAAAAAATGGTTATCACAAAATTGTGGTTAACCCCTAATGCAATTTATGCGACAAGTCATTACAAGTCGCGCCGTTATTGTGGCGCCACAGGTAATATTCCAAAATTAACATTTTGAGTGTTTAGCCAAAATTTTGTGATAATCATTTTTTTATATGGGAAATCCGATTTCTATACTTTGAAACTTTAATTCTGTCCTTCTCATGAGGTCATCCTGGCTATACGTTGTGCTTTCAATAGAATGAAATCACAGATGAACGTTAGCCAGTTTCATAGAGCGAAGAAATATTAAAGTATTTTAAAGGCACGTTATGAATGCATTTTTTTTTAGAGCGCAATCAAAAGTTATTGAAAAAGAACAAATCGTAGTTCATATTTTCTCAATAAACGGACGTGAGGACTTACTTTGTAACTGTTCGAACAGTATTTGGTCGCTGTTTTGGATCTTTTAATATCTACAGAAAACAGATAAAATGTTATAGAAAAGTAGTGGAATGATGATAATCAACCTACTTTTTTATGTTTTTGAACATATGGTAAAAATACAGAGAAAAATGGAAGTAAAGGAAGAAAAAGGGCGACTAGAAAGATCTAAAAATTTAGAAAAAAACATTGAAAAAATTGATCATTAATAGATAAAATTAATATAATTACTCTAAAAGTGATCCATCGACGTTTATAATTAATGTTACCATACCATTTATTATCTAAATATCTTTGTACACATCTTGATGCAAGAAATGATCGACAACCAGCATCTTTCGCTAATCTTCGCGGATCATAATTGAAGAGAGCCACTGCCTTTCGTTTAACAATATCAACAGCAAAATTTTCATCATTATCAAAACATTTATCAATAAGAGCCTTGCTATATGTATCGAATTGTCTAAAGAAAAAATACACTCTTGTAATGTAATAATTATGAAATGGATAATTAATTATACTTGGCATAATCTTCATATGTTGTTTGTTCTTGGGAATCTAATGTTGTTTTCGCTGCTACACGATATATTTTTGCACCAACTAAAGGAGCAATCGATTGATTCTATAGTATTAAAAATTAAAATTTTTTTATAGTACTATTAATAATTTATGTATGGTACTCACCCATGTTTTTGAACATAAATATTTAGCTAATTCAAAACGATTACTAAACACTGCCCATAAAAATAAATCTCGTGGAGCATTTTGACCAAGTTGTTGCTCTTGATCAACTTTTGGGATAGTCTACAATTCAAACAGACTTTTTTTTAGAACGACTATAAAATTCAATAATACTTACAAGATTTTTCAAGTATCGTAGATAATAACTTTCTTTAGTTATTTTTTCACCTTGTCCGTTTTTTAGTTTCTTTTTACTGTTTATTCCTTTGAGGGGTAAACTATCTAGACTCTAAAAACATTGATGCATATTAAAATAAGTTGCTAAATGGAATCAAGTCACAAACCTTGTTGGTGACTAATGCATATAACTGATCTAAATTCTTCACTGTTATTCGTTCTAATGATGCACCAAATTCACATAGTAATTCGACAAAATTAACATGACCTCTTCTCAAAGCGTCCATCAATACATTATGAAGATCCTCCTCCTAAATCACTATAATATCTTATTAATTCTAACAATGTAATCATATATAATTTACCTTCCACTTTGAAATTGTTGTATCAGTTAGAATGTTTTGTTTAGCATAAATAAACTTTTGCCATGCCTTTGAGAAGAAAAAAAAGGTATAGTTGTTCGGGAGAATGTAAAAAGTTTCATCTACCATGGTTAATTTGAATTCAGCAACTCGTTGATGTTGTTCATCATTATTACCAGAAAATTTTGCAGCTAAAGAAACAAGAAATAGATACGACAAATTGATTGCTAAAGAAAATATATTACCGTTAAATAAGGCTTCCAATATAGCATCTTCTAAATTACCATTATGTTTCTTACTATCGAATTTAAAAATTGTTACCAACATTCTTTTTTCACGTAAAATTCGACATAGATCGTCCTTAACTTCTTCGATCCCTTTAATATCAACAGTAGCCTTAGCCAGTCTAAAAGTGAGAAGATATTGTAGAACCATTGTATCATTAGTATTAATTTCGTTTAATAGCAGATGCACTTAGTTGGTGTTGCAGATTTTGCATTAAACTTATATCAGATGTAAAGACTTTCTTACTCGTAACATTTGAGTTATAGAAATGAGTTTTTTTCATCATGTTATACTCTCACTGGAATAAATTGTCGTTCTGGTAAAATCGACACTTCTCGTTATGAGAGTTTTACCGAAAGTCCTAAAACATGTATCAGATACTGGCGCCACCATATCTCGAAAGCGACTTTCATTTTAACAATATTTCGTGGTTGAAAGATTTCTGGGTAATGAAACATCGCAGAGAACTCGGGAAGGTCTTAAACTGAAGCTGACACATGTGGCTAGAGACTAATAGAGCCCAATTTTAGATATTCGGCCTCGATTTGTGGTTAGAACAATATCTTCATGCAAGTTAATGCGACTTTCTCTAATTTTGGGCTTTTGACGCTCACGATTAATTTGAAAAGTAAAATATCAAAAATCCAATTCTATTAGCCTCTAGCCACATGTATTTTCGTGCACGTACGATGAACCCGAGCTTTCCACAAAGTTTCGTTACTGAGAAATCTTACAGCTACGAATAGTTCCATTTTGGGGGTCCTGTTTTGGCGACATCTCACAAACCATGCTGGATGGAGCCAAATAAAAAATTTCGTCACCATAATTTCACAAGATCAACATCTCCTAAAAGTTTGATCATGTTCGGACTTATACTTTCAGAGATAGGTTTCTCACAGGGGGAGGAGGATCTTAAATATGTAAAATACATAAACTTGCAAAGTATTAGTAGTGTACAGAAGAGTCGCTAAAATGCAGCTAAATGAAAACTGAGTTCGGCGTCTTCTTGAAAGTCGCATATCTTTTTTTAGAGTGTATGACTTACGAAAGAAACTACTATATTTTCACATTGTTTTTGTAAAATACATAATTCGATAAGAGTCCAGAAACATCTCATGTTACTGAGCATTTTCTGGACAACAGTTTGGACAGACTAAAATAAATGATAACATAGGTTCTTAGAGTTTTCTATAGAGCTGGTTTTCAAAAAAATGTACACTGCGAATACATGACAAGGTTACGTATTTTACATATTTAAATGAAAATTCGAATTAATCAAAAATACGAGCTACATTTTGAGATCTAACTCGAAAGAAAATAACTTCCGGTAACTGGAACCGCATAAATGAATTACACAGGCAAGAAGTGTCGATTTTACCAGAACGACAATCTATTCCAGTGAGAGTATAACGTGATGAATTTTTACAAGTAACTGATATAAGTTCGATTCAAAATCTGCGACACCAACTAAGTGCATCTGTTTCACTCTAATAGATAACTGCTATTTACACATACATTTGGTTCATTTCATCATTTTTGTTAATGCCTTTTCCTGCGGAAGTTTTTGGACGTTCGCCATCTAAAGTATTATTATCCGTTAAAATGGCATGTAAATCGGCTACAAGATCTGCTGCTCGTCCAGATTCCTAAAATAAAGACAATATTTCTCTGTCAAAAGTTAACTGAAATAGAAAACTAGATATTAACCTACTTTTATCACCACAAGCGGTGTTCCACTTTCAAGTGCTTTGCATACAGTTTTGATTGATGATGGTCCTCCTTCGACTAGCACCATTACGATCGGTACGATTCCGAAGTCTAAAAAGAGAAAAAAGATTAGACCTGGATATTTCATTATTGAAACAAAATACCTTCTGATGATGGGTGAATATCTTTTGTTTTCTCATTTCCAATTTCTATATGTCGCGATTGTGTTTCGATATCAGCTCGGAGATTCAGTACATTATCTGCATTCGCAGTACCATCATCAAATAAAAGAAAATGTGTATGATTTGGTTCGATATCGCATATCCCTTTTTCTTTGTTTTTGCACAGATAGGACTTGACACCGTAGTTATCACCTATATCCTGATTAAATCAAATTAAATCAAGTTTAGTATTATATTGTTCATTAGAATAACATATACCATAAGAACTTTGTCAACTGGATGTTTGACTGATGAACCATTATGTTGTAATGTGATATCTAACTGCTCTTTTCCTGACAAGAAACACAGAAAATGAGATAATAGAAACATGATCTTTTGAAGCATACCAGCCGTATAACCCCAACTACATATCCCAATACACGGTACATTTAAACCCTGTTTTCTATTTTTATATCGATAGTTATTCAGTGCTTCGCCAACCTCTTTTACAACACCAGCATTCGTTCCGGCTGTTATAATCCAAGCATCTGTCAATACAAAAAAGATATAAATTGATCATATAAACATTTTTGACATCATACTTGTTGTGACAGCTGCGGAGACTAAACCTTGTTGAAACGTTTTTCTTAATCTTGCTGACATTTTCAATTTTTTTGCACCTCCTGTCACAGTAATGATTAAGTCGGGCACATTTAAATTCCAGCCATTTCTCATAAATCGTACAACATCATCTTTGTCTGTTTGAAGTGCCAACCGAATATACTACGGGAAAAAAAACTTTAGTTATAAGATCATATTCTCTTCAAATAATGCTAATTACCTCTGATAATCTTGTATCTTCATCGATTGGATTTTCATCAAACTTAACAAATCCGAATTGACTCGTCAGGTCGTTTTGGCTAAATGATAAAAAAAGATTTCTTGTTTAAAGCATAGCAATATACAGAGCCGTACGCACGCCCCCCCCCCTCGTCTCTCTCACAGTGTGCAGGTAGGGGTGAAAAAATCAAAACCGACTTTTAAACACTAGCTACTTAAAAACTAGTCTGAAAACAGCGTCATCCGTAGAAAAATTAATTTTAAGCAAAAACGGAGACTCCAGTAACCGAATGAGTTATCAATTATGAATCTCCACATCATTTAGTATACATTAGTAAAAAAATTTTGAGTTTGAATGGGAGATTGCTGAGCAAAAAAATAAAAGTTTTTCTTAAGTGGTTTTCCGAACTGCTAGTTTGAGTAAAATTTGCGCGCTCTCCACAGCCCACCTTCAAATTTGTCCAAAATTTTACAGAACATTCTTCTACATGCCCTCTATCAGCACAGTTAGCATCAGTTAGCATAAAGGTTCCCGGACTTAGACATGGGTTCTCCAAAACTCCCAGCTTTTCCAGGTATTTTCCATTTATCCTCGACCAAGAAATGTTTCTATTCAATAAAAATGACATATTCAGAATCACCGCAAGAAACTGCATCGAATGATGAGCGATTAGTAGGCATTGAGCAAAAACTTGTTGAATCTAACGAAACGCTAAAGTCGAAGCATAACTTAACACTGTTCGCTAAAGGTTTTGATATTTGCTATAGAAGCAATCTGAAAGCCTACAAACACCTTTTTTATAGGCTTTCAGATATGCTCTTTCCAATGCTGCACCTTATAATATTTCAGAATACTTATGTGTGGGTTTCTAGAGACCCGGTCTCCGGAGAACCCAGATTAAAGTCTCTTTGAACTTTGTAAAGCAAGCCATTGGAAAGAGCATATCTGAAAACCTATAAAAAAAGTGTTTGTAGACTGTCGGACTGCTTCTACAGCAAATGTCTGGCTGGTCTATGGAAAAATGCACACTGTGTCCTCCCCCTACCCCAAAAATAAAATTGTATCGGTTCCTTCCAGCGCAAATTAAAATTTTGTTCGTGTTTTGGCTCGCACGGTAAAAAAAATTTCTTATACAACCCCCCAAAAAATTTTTCAGTGCGCGAAGCACTAAACATTTTTTAGATCCCTCAAAGTTCACCTCCTATTTACAGTGATATAGGTGTATCGATAAACTCACTATTTAGTTTAATAAATTAATAATTAGAGGTATATAAGATCAGCTTTCTTTTCAACTAAGTCATGATCATTACTCTCCTCTATGGCTTCCAAAGTCTGAAATGACGATATACATTAATAATGTTGATTTTGAGAAGACTGTACGATCTGATAGTCTGGAGTATCTACTTGTTGGTGGACTAGGCTACCTTTCAGAACAATAGCTTTCATAGTTTTTGGTGTGATTTTCTAGCCCTATGATTAAAAAAAATTTAGAGCTTCTGAATGCGTAAAATTAATAAATTTTTAAATGGTCTGATACTTTTCTACAGTTTATCGACTCTAATGGTGCTGAAACATGTGTGCCACGCATGTGTGAGCACATTTGAACATATAAACGTATATATTTAGCTTGAAAATGGTAGATTGAATGCAGACTCAAAACTTATGATTTTAGCGAGATATACACGGTTAAAAAATTAGACGCCCACTAGAAAACATCCACGAAAAGTATACTAAAAAAATCGTCGACAAACATAAGTCCACAAAAATTCTTTCAAATATAGCATTTAAGTGCATACTGCATAGATCACTCGTTCCACTGCACTAGCTTATCTCAGAAACAACTGATTTCGTGCGATAATGGATCGGTCAAGCAGATTAGGCATGCTTCCAAAGTAGTGTGTTTTCAAAACTGAGTAAAATATTATTGGCTTTTCAAATTTTGTTTTTCAATCTAATAAAAAAAACATACGAGAAAATTCGTTCAGAAAAAAAAACCGTCTAGCAAAAAAACATACCAAGATGTGACGAAAAAAACGCCCACTAAAAAGGATCAACTTTTGGACGCTGTGTTTTTTCCAGTGTAGGACTGGATTTGCTCACAATGCATAAGTATATACTGTACATGGCCGAAAACATGTTTAACAGACCTGGCGTGGTCGATAAACTATAGAAAATGTAAGCTCTGATGAAAAAAGATCTTTTTTTAAAAACCGATAGAAGCCCATCACCAGACGTAGTTTTTCACGCTGATCCCGAATTCGGCCTTTATTTTGAAAAAAACATGAATTTTCAATTAAAAAATTTCAATTTAAAATTTTTAAAACCTTTAATTTTAATTTTTTGACCTAGAGATTTTCGTAAAATAATTTTAAAAATATACTGTCGAATAGAGAATTCAATTCTCAACAAAATGGCTCGTCTTGTTTTGAGAAATATTTCTCAGTCGAGGCACAAGGACTGCTGGCAACTTTGAACTCTCGACTCGATTTAAAAGCCTGCGATACCTTTTGGAACTTTGTTTGCTTCAGGAAGGCTAGAAGTACTCAAGCTATAAGTATGAAATTGTCTGAAGAACGCTGAATACCCTAAAATGGTGTGACAAAAAAATGTATAACAGCGTTAAGTTTGTTTTTTGCTTGTTTTACGCGAGTAAAAATAGTTAGAAGAAAATTCTTTTTACCGCTGAAAAGCTCCTTCGATGCTCTACAACATTTGCTCTAGCGGCGTTTCATTTGGAGAACGACTTTCGCAGGAAATTAGAACTTTAGCAAGAGCACTCCGCTTCATAGTTTTACGCGATGAAAAAACCTTTCTCGAAGCTTCAGACTTCAACCAAAAAACTTCGTTTTTATAGCATACATAGAGTATGGTGAGCTGTGTCGAATGGGGTTTGAACGAACTTTCTAGCTCTCAAACTTTCCGAGATAATTGAGAAAACGTAACAGCATTACGTTTGGACAAGCCGACCAGCTATGTGATTCTTTCTTTAACGCTTACAACAATTTTCGATAACGATACATCGGAGAAAGAAAATTCTTTTCCCATACAACACTTCCAACTGGGATTGACTAAAACCGATTTGTAAATTATGCTTCTATTCTTTATAAGAATATAAATTTCTAAATTTTTCGAGAAATTTTAGGATTTCAGAGTTCTACTGTGCATCTTGGAGAAGAAATTCAAAAATCAGGCTTTGTCAACTCCTAGCCATAGATGTTTCCTGCAAAACAAAACTAACTCCGTTTCTTTGTCAACTATTTGGAATGAGAAGTCTTGCGCGGACCAAATATCACATTTCGACTCTTGCTGTGGTAGCACTTCGAGCATGGAAGCAGACGAAACTTTGAAAACATATTTTTTACTCATACTCTGACATAGTCAATCTTTCCTGAAAGTTTAATCCACTTCGAACGTATATATATTAAGTATAGTTATTAAGGCAGATTTCTGACCTGAGGCACTTTTAAAATAAGTCTTACACAGTTAGAGTGGCATTGTCTCTCTAAAGATGATTATTTCTCTGAAGAATTTGAGTTACTTACGCATCATTGGACGGTCTAATTGATAAAGTTTGTACAACCTAAATAGAAAGACTTACTTTTACACTTAATATAGGATATTACCAATTATATAGATATATTTACTGTTGCAACTTCTTGTAATTTAGTTTGCAAATAGTCATCCATTACATATATGCAGGTAACAGAAGGATGTTAATTATACTATCTATTACCTCATCTAACCCACACTATGCTTTTTATTATATTATACAACTAAAGCGTAAAAAACAGAGTGATGTTCATGAATGAACTACAGGTGTATAGCCTTTTCTTTTTTTTTTCGCATAATTTTTCAAAATCTCTGTTCGCGACTGTATCGCAAAATTCGAAGTATATAGTCGAGATTAGAAATTATATTTGTTGAGTATTTTAGCTAATAAAATAAATTTTTAGTTTTTTTTTTAACTAAACCTTTTTTGCATGGATATTTTCATGAATATCTCAGACGAGAATCCACTTCAGAAAAAACTGTTCATTTCAAAACGTGTTTATTAGATACAAAAACAGCAACGAATAATGCAAAGAAAGAAAACATGAATAGAAACAAGAATTTTTTTTCTTCTCCTTTTCTTTGTGTACGCGACGATGTCAACATACGTTTCGCTTGTGCTGTCCTTGAAGACAAAAAATTTTTATACCAGAAAAGAGAGAACACTTTCACGTCAATGAAATCAGCAGATTTTTAGTTCACAAAAGTTTTTGACGGCTTTCTTGCTCTCTTCTGTGTTTAGATGGTTAAAAATTTACACAATGTCGATGAACGATTGTGAAATTTAGAAAAAAAAGAAAAAATGATGACGATTTTTAAATCCAAGCATATATTCAATTTCATTAAAAAAATACAAAACACACAAAAGCGAACTAAAATGGCTAATCAAATTTTGATTTAAATGGGCGTATCAGTATTAATGCGTGGTTAATCAAACTGTAAAATTCAAGTACAACACGAACTTCATGTATATATATATATATATATATATATGAGTGATTCTGGTAATTAATTTTTTTAATGAAAAAATGACCCAATATGATAGCGATAAGAAAAATATTTTAACACTATAGGCTTATAGAGGCTATTCGGAAGTCTATAGAAAACCCTATTCACAAACTACCAGGTCCTTATCTGCCGAAATCCTGGTTGTTCACTTTTTGACTCCGAATCGAAAATGAGATTTGCAAATCCCCTTGGAGATTTGTCTCTGCTTTTCAGCTAAAAATATCATAACTAATAACGGAACTTCCCGCAGTGTCCTCTGGGATTTTTGAGAAATGCTTGGGGTCTGGTAGAGCTAAGTGCTCTGATCACAAAAATATGATATTTTTAGCTGCCACCATTACGTGGACGCTACCCGAAAGTCAAATTCACACTATATTCTTGAAACAAAAAATGTTTCAAACACTCAGACCTATCTCTGATAAAAAACTGTGCTTAAAACGATAAAGTAATCGCTTACTCGCTTCTGAGTTAGAGTAGTTTTATTTTACTTTAATCAAAAAATGACCTATTTTTTGCAGATACGTTATTCACGTTCGTTTAATATGCTGTTTTGTTAAGGAACTCTTCATCTACGATTTGGTATATAGGACATAATAATTCGACTTATAGTATTCGAGAAACAAATATGCATTTACTATACACTTATCTTTTGCTAAGTTAACTGATACTTTTATACTGCTAGTAAAGGTTAAAATCAAATGTAATATATCATAAGAAAGTGTTTTGGACTCCCTACAAATTGACTTATTTAAAAATAAAAAAATTATTTTTTCATACACACGTATAGGAGCAAAAAGTTACAATGCATAGCAAAAGATACGTGTATAGTAAATGCTGATGTGTTTTTCGAATACTATAAGTCGAATTGTTATATCCCATATATCAAATTGTGGATGAAGAGTTCCTAACGAGGACCGACCCACTTCCTTGAAAAAATTTCGGATTTTGAGCTGAGCATAGCCTAATGTAAAAGAAAGTGTGGGCTGCAAAATAAGACCACCCCCAGCACTCCACGACCTTTGTTCGAAGGTCATGCAGTTTTGAAGTTTTACCTTCAAAGCCTAAAAAAATTCAATTTTTTAGTTTCATAAACTTTTCTCTCCATTTTTGTACATTCAAAATTTTTCTTACGCATAGTCTGATAGAAGAAAGTGTTTTCTTCACAATGAGACGTTTTCCAGAATTTTCCAATGAGTTTTCATGGAGATATAGGCATCGTGGGAAATGCCCTGAAAAATGCGGCCTGTGTACACAATGCGTTTTTTCTCAAAAACTCTTCAACTCGACCTTCATTGGAGCACATTACGACTCTCTTCAATTTCATCCCATCAAATTAAAAATATTACCAGGGGTATTCAAGGCCATAGCTGAGAGATATAATTTTGAAATTTTCTGTCAGAGTTTGCTTTACCGAGTTACAGCGTTTCTAAAACTTAAAAATTTGGTTTTTGAAAGTTTTTCGGTATTTTTCCTATAACTCAGTAAAGAAATTTCTAAAAGAAAATTGCAAAATTATACCTCTGCACTATGACCTCGAGTATCTCTGGTAAAATTTTTAACTCGCTCGAATGAAATTTAATGCGGGTCATAATGTGATCGAATGAAAAACCGAGTTTTC